AGAATTATTTTCTAACGAATCGTTCTGTGAAACGACAGCGCATTTTATTCGAATTTACCGACGAATCGGAAGGTGCATCGGAATTTATTTTTCGCATTCGAATTTCGCGCGAGCGAACGGAGCGTAATATTACGCCACACCGAGCCGGTTCTGTAATTTAACGCCGGTATCGTGCGGATGCAACTTTCGTTTGATTCGTTGCGTTTTTCCGCTGCGACATCCCACGAGTGCGCTTTCGCGGTCATTCAAATAGAAACGTTCTCTTTTCCACGGTTCTGGATTGTCGAAATTTTTCGATATGCGTACTATATCAACAGATTAAAAAACGTATAGACATAATGTTAGAAATACATGTATACGTAAATAGAAAGTATATAAATATAAGTGTATGCATAAAGAAGAAAATATGCGCCAAACAATCCAAATTATTCTTAACTCATCTTAACTAATAAGACGGATAGATATTACTATAAAAGGAAGAACTGTAACATAAATTAGATTGTGTTATGTGTATAAAATAATTGTTATTACACAAAATTACAATACAGTGATATATTAAACAGAACGTTTTGTTACGTCGAGAATTTTATCGTATCAAATTGTATTAAAAATGTCTTTATCAAACGTGAATGATAAGCTCGTGTAAAAGCTTTCAGAGCTCTCGTGTTCGCAAGGTCCTCTTAAAAATATAAAATGCAATAAAAAGCATAGAGCGACAAGTACGCCTGCGGCAGAAACGAGTTTATTACACTCGAAATATTTCGCTGCGTCCGCAGCGAATTATTCGCGAAATTATTCGCAACGACGAGGCGTCGCGTCGAGTGCTGGCATGCTCGATATAAATTGACAGGCGACACGTGGAACAATTGCATCACATACGCGCACACGCCTCCGCTCTCGCGCGAGATGACGTTCCGTTAAATGCTTTTTCAGAGAGAAAACGACGTCTGTTCGTGAAACTGTCGACCTCTTCCAGCGTGACTATCGATATCGTGTCGCGTAACAAAGCCTGGAAACTTCATCTGCGATTAATAATGGGCGTCCGATGCCCTCTTTCGAAAGTTTGTTAGCAATTTAGTTGTTAGCAACAAAGTTTCAAATTACATTACATGTTCAAAACTGAAGATCTTTGAAAGGTTCTTCTGAATATCTTAAAGGATCTTGAAAAAGCACCTTGATCGTTTGGAAATCTTTTCTTCAACAAATATTTCAAGTGTTTATAAAAATCTTTAATAATAAATTTATTATTTATCATGTGCATGCGAAAGAGAGAATTAAGTTAAAATAATTTAGTGTTATAAAAAAAGGAATATATCTCTGTTATTTATGCTATAATAAAATCTTATTTAAATGTATGATATACATAACGATTTGAAGAGAATTGAATATTTTTTTCTTTATGAAACATATATTGTTCGAAAAATTGGGATGACTCACATCGGATGGTTGATACTTTTACACAAGTAGTCGCTTATCTAAATGCACGTCATCTTATTTCCATACGAAAGGAATACTCGGCTATGGCATGATTGTGAGATGCACAGAAATTCCTGGACCGCGATAAGTCGTTTGTCGCCCTGGTCTAAAGCATCTTTCATGAAACGGACAAAGGAAATTTTCTCGAGTCTGACGGGCCTTCACAGTTCTGGAAAGTCAGACGATGTCTCTACGACGAGAAGTCAGCAAAAGTGAAAATTCCATTCGCATGAGATGTGCTACGAGAGAATTATAAAATATACGTAGTTTTGAAATTTAATAATAATAATAATAATCAAAAAGATTATTATTTTCCCGAGATCTAAGAAAACTTCACAAACTTCACAAAAAGTTGATCATTAAATGGATATATATTATCTTCTTGAATATATGAATAAGTAAAAGGAGTAAAAATCGAGCTATAAAAAAGACCACAAACTATAATGAGACTATTCATTTCTGAAGATTCTCGCCAAGAGAATAGATAATTGATCTTTGCTGTACCGTTTGCTATTTAGCGCAATATTCATTTTCTGACAATTGTCGTCTGGGAACGATGATTTTACGGGTCATCATAGTGGCTCTCGGGTCGGTCACTGATCCACACCGGTGATCCCGAAGAGGTAAAAGTTTATACCGTTATATACGAAAGAGCGCCTGCTTCGTGCGCGGTCAATGCGCGCTTTTACGTGACCGGAAAGATGCGCATAAAAGCGGAAGCTCACTCGCAGGAAGATAGCCAGCCTGTGAATTATTCCACGGACCTCTTTTATTCCTCCTGAGAAAAACGTCTCATTTGCATCAGCAATTGCGTGCCTCCGTAAAAATTTGATATAATATTATAGAAAAGAGGCATTCTTTTTTTCTTCATCTCTCTCTCTTCTAATCCGTAAATGGGAATTCCGAGAGATTTTCAAAGAAAAGTCGCGCTATTGTCGAAGGTGTGGAAAAATCGTCTGGATATTCCGAACGTTGAAACATAGCGTTCCTGAATATTGTTTTCTTTTAAAAATGCATTTCTATTAGAGAATTCTATCGAATTCTACAAAAACATTCTTAGAGAATCAACATCTGTATATTTTTTAGAAATGTAATGTAATTTAAAATAATTATTTCATATATACTTGTAAAGAAATTGTGTATAGTTTAGAATTTTAATCAAAAAAGCGCGTAGAAATAATTTTAATATTAACTATAAATAGTAAACGTTAATTTATTGATTAAACGTTTTTGAAATAATAAAATAAAATAAATAAAAATAAAAATAAAATCTAATATAAGATTAGAAAAAAAATCAGGTATATTAAACGTGAAGAAATATGCTTTCCCACTCGATAATAAAGTCATTAAGATTTTATCGTAGCTACGTCATTTTTTTCAAGGATCAGATGGCACAATTACTAATAGTTAATTACTTTGTTTCTTTCGTTTAATTGAATTCCTAATCGTTTGCTATTCGTTAACAATTTTATAAATTTTATCATCGTAATTTGCATGTACACAATTCAGAATAATGCCATGTTTTAACAATAAAGCAGTCAAAGTTGGTTAACAGTGAGATATCGAATACAAATAATAATAATTATTTTGTAACGGTTACATACACTGATCAATTATATTTAAAATATATTTTAAATATTATTAAATTATTATTATTATAAATGTTTAATTTGAATTTTTATAGTTTTTATTAAAAATATTAATTTATTTGAGCTATTTCCTTTTAAAAAATAAATATATAGTAGCAAAGTGATAGAAATGATTTAAGTCACTTTTGCTTTCGATTGCTGAATCGTTCCACTTTTCGCGAATGTATCGGGTTTGTTGCACCAAGCGATATCGATTAATACGTGCATCGCACGCAATCGGAATTTTTCATTGTCACGTACGATACAGAGAAAAGAGAACGTCCAACTGATTTAATGCGCTCGTTAGAAAATTTCATTATCCACGTAATGTTATAATTCTCTCATTTGGCACTGCTATAATTACCTTGCCGCATAAATGTCAATTATTTCCTTTGGATGTATCATATAATGGGTTGTTAAATAACAGCGCTCGAAAAATTTAGAGAATGTCTTTGTGTTGTTGAAAAATTAAATACGATATTAAATAATTCGAAAGCTAATAATCAAAACTAACAAACTTAAATTCGATTTACATACGTAATAATGTTGTAGAAATTAACGCTATGCAAGTGAAGAGAGAGAATCAAAATTTAATCCTAAACTGCTAAGAGAGAGTTTTCCTCGTTCTAGTATCTGGTATTGAACTCACTCACGGGAGATTTCAATAGATTCAGCGTGCTCTGTCTCGTTATCATTGTTGCGTGCTTACAGAGAACAGTTACAAAGTCGATATGTTTAAATCTAGTTGAACAAACTAGCAAAACAGCAAAATAGATTGCTGATAATTTGCGAGCCTTGAGTTTTCAAAGAGGGAATATATAAAGTTTATAAACCTGTAAATTAAAAGTAAAAGTTTTTGTTTTCATTTCTATTTTTCAAATTTTAAAATTAATTTTATCTTTAATCTTACTGTTCTCTTTTTCCTCTCCTTTTTATTTCTTTGTTTTTAATTCTATATGTACTAACTTTATATAAGATTGATTTTAAATCTCGATTCAATTTTTATTTTCTTAGAAAAATAATTATTGCAAATCTTTGTTTTCTTGAATGATGTCTTTGGCATTGACACTTATTCTCGCATCGCGGATAAGTTATCGTTATACAATGTCCATTGCCAGAAGTTTCTGTGATGTGACTACAGTCGAAATGCCAATCTCTTTGGAGCGTAACGACTCTATTCTCATAATAATAGTATGTCAGGTAGGCGGTTAGGTGTATAGAATATTTTAAGGGTAAAGTTTCCCTATTGTCACAACTGTCTCGTTCTCGAATTTCTCCCTAAATCACCTGGCGAAACGATCGTACGATCACTAAACGTCTAAATATTTTTGACGACAATTCTCGTTTTATTGTTTACAAGTTTATAAAGAGAATGTTAGAGCAATAATTTTCGTCAACTAGAATATGTTATATATAAACCCTCACTAATATATAAATTATATATAATTATATATATAAAATTATATATACAATTATGTTACATACCTATGCAATTAATTTATTAATATATCGTAATAGAATAATATATATCGAATTTTCTTGATCTACCATAGTTCCATACTGAAAATCAGGATCTCTCGTGAGTCAGCTATAGATCATCGCTTACATCGCGTTATTCCAGATCCATCATGAATCGTAACTAAGTAAAAATCGCTACACATTAATTCGTTGATAATATTTTCGATTTAATTTTCGTTCTCATCCATTATAAAGACCACGATCGCGGATCGGCGCTGATTGAAACAATTTCAAGTATCTTTAACAAAATATATAATTCACGTCTGGACGCTGTTGGGGCCCGCGACGCTCGCACGGAACGATGGCGACCGCGACCGCGGCCGCAGCCGCAGCACAAGGGAAGAGGTGGGGAGGCGGGGGGGGGGGGACCTGACTCACCTGCCACGACGTGTCGCGACCGCATTTTCCGGCTCCGAATCTTTTTTTCGGCTCCTTTTTCGCTTTCTTCTCACCCTCTCACGCACTCAACATCCTGCCCCTCTTCGTTCCGCTTATATTTTTCCCGCTCGCACTTTCCCGCACGCCGTGGAAAAATAACTTCCCGCTTCGAGGTGAGTTCTCCTCTTTCTGGTCTCCACACTCTCACCTCCGCACCCGCGCGCGCACCAGCTTCGACTGACGACGAATGCCCGCCGAACGAGACTGCCAGACCGATGTCGCGACGGCGGCAGCAGAGGCGACGGCGGTGGTGACTGGTGGTGACGGAGAACGCCGCCACCACGCTCGACCTGCGTCGGCCCCTCTCTCCTTCACGGTACTTGAGGATCGCTGTTACCTGGTGACCACGCTTACCTACCACGGTTACCTGTTCGTTACGTTTGCCTGCGCGCCAGGTACGAAAGAAGAAGCGAAAAAGCGATTCTTTTAATCAAACATTTGTAATAATACTATCATTTCGTTTAATTCAATTTTGTCGCAAATACAAAGAGTAAAAATCTCCCTCATCAAATGTTATCAAACGCCAAATTTTATTCACTCGAGAATAAATTTGTTTAAATTTATATATACATTTACATCAAATCGCTCCTAACAGGCGTCATACATGTATTTATTTATTCTCATTGTATTTTCAGTCTATAAAAAAATCAAAAAGGTCAAAAATATGTACATGTTTTTTAATTTAAAATATTACAAAAATTTAATTGAATTTTATAAATTTTCGTAATTATTTTACACTTTACAAATTAAAAAATTTTCGTAATTATGACTTTAACACTTTTTTATTCATCATTAATATATTTATTCGTTCGAATATAATAATGAAGTATTCTTATAAAAAATTATTTAAATAATCATTATAAAGTTTTAAATAAACATTTAAAGTTTTTCATGACATGAGTGTAGACACCGATTGCGAGAGCGCCGCGCTTGTTGCGCTTGCGCACACGTGACTTTATCGTTTTATCTGCACCTTCCTCTCCGTGCTATACGGTACTCTCTTGCGTCTCCTACGTAAAGATGAGATAGCTATATATGTGGCTCAATGAAAAAAAGAAAGAGCGAGTGAGAGTGAAGGTAAAAAGTGTAAAAAGTGCAGTCGAACTGGAGTTTCTGCCAGTGCCTGCCGTCTGCCAGTTCCTGTGGGTGGCCACCTAAGTTGCCGCCGCGAAAATGTCAGCTCGCTGGTGGTGATTCACGCTTAACTTATCTCGCGCGTGTGTCAACCGACTTCACCGTCCCGTGTCACCGAGACGATCGACCACGTTCTGCTCGGTCTACGAGCAGGTGAGTGACAGGGTGGATATACGCACGCTCGTTGCGTGCATTGCCGTGCTTCGAGGTCGTCGATGAAACGGCGTCCGTTAACGGATCGGCGGCGAGCAAGAGCAGGTTAAGTGCATTCGCACCGGAGCATTCTTATCCTTGTCTATTCTATCCTCGTACCCCGATATCAATCTCAAATAATTAGGCGCGAATTAACGTTCGGTGAGCTGCCGTTCATGGCAGCTGGTAACGATTTCACGATCGCCCAGTAGAATTTCCGTTCCCGCTGCATCTGTCAAGTGCACTTTCTAAAGCATGACTCATGCTATCGCTGATGATGGGGGTAAAAAAGGCTGGAATGCCATTCCGGGGAACTGTCTAATTTATCAGCAGCGGAGTCTGCGATAATCTCCAGGTGAAGTTTGTGTTTGCGGTAGGATGCGGTATGGCAGATAAGAACCTAGCTTGAATCTGACTTTTATAGTCTCATTGTACTAGACGGTGTGTTTATAAATGGAATTATAATTGGAAAATTAAGTATAACTGGAGGACGTAAGATAACTATAAACTTATATACTTTTTTCAAGGATGTCATTCTCTGTATGCTAATATCTGAATTTTCTTTGAGTCTATTCTTGCGTGACAATTATTTTTTCTTTCTGTTAATTGTATATATATATATATATATATATATACAATTAGGAACAACATGTGAGTGTTTGTTGAAAGGTATTAATTATATATAATAGATGTAAAATCGATTAGAAGTGTTGTTGCATATGTATGTAAAAGATGACAACTGTTTCAATAAAATAAGCATAGCTATAATAGAATAGCTAATATTTTACATATATCATTAAAAATATAAAGTAATATTCATCTGTTTTATTTGTAAAAATTATATTTTTTTCTAGGATGATGGAGGAACCATTGAGTCAAGGTGCCTCACCATCCAGCGATGGCAACTTCTCGGCGGGTGGTGGCAGCGGTGGTGATCTCAATTCGTCCACCTTAGTCAGTCTGGATGAGAGGATATTGGATATCACGTCGCGACACACTTTAAATGTTCTTAGAACACCTCCAACTAAAAAGGCTAAGAGAGTTCGATTCTTCCGTAATGGAGACAAATATTATACAGGCGTAGTGATGGCAGTGACGCCTGAAAGATATCGTAGTTTCGATAGCCTTGCGACCGATCTGACACGTGCCCTGGTATCGAGTGTAACTCTACCGAATGGTGTTCGAGCGATTTATACTATGGATGGCCGTAAGGTTCAGAGTGTTAATGATCTAGAGGATGGCAAATGTTATGTAGTATCTGGTCAGGGTGAGATCTTCAAGAAGGTTGAATATTCAGCATCCAAAGTCCGCCGAGGAAGCTCACTGTCTGGGCTACCGCAATCGCCAGCGGCCAGCAGTGGAGGCAGTGGTACCGGTAGGCAGACCAGCGCCATTCCGCTGTGCGTGAAAGCGCGCATCGTGACGTTGATCCGCCACGGTACCAAGCCGCGTAAGGTAGTGCGATTGTTGTTAAACAAGCGCAATGCACCAAGTCTCGAACACGCTATGGAAGCGATCACAGAAGCAGTGAAACTCGATACTGGGGCAGTAAGAAAGGTATACACGCTATCGGGTCAACAAATAACATCGCTTGAACAATTCTTCGAAAACGATGACATCTTTGTGGCATATGGCCCGGAAAAATCTGTACAAGAAGATTTTGAACTAGATTTTGAAGAAAGTAAATGTGTGCAGAGCTTTCGACGATGTCCATGGAATTCTAAACGACAAAGTGGGCCAATGCCACGAATGCCGAGAAAGTCTGGCAAAAAGACACTTACTACGCCACAAGTTAGGACTCCTAGTCCGTCATCTTTGATACTGCCACAACCTCTGAGGTTGCATTACACTGTGGGACATATAATTGGAGATGGAAATTTCGCCGTCGTTAGGCATTGTACTCACAAGTGAGTATTTTAAAGCATGAAAAAGTTAATGAAATAAAAAAATTTAGTATTTTTATGCAAAAAGAGATTTATATTTAGCATCAAATGTAATACGATATATCATAATTTATTTAATTATAGATGTTTTTTTTGAATACTTAATTTAAAACATCTGACGTCAAATCTTAACAATATTTTAGATCTAGCGGTACTGAATACGCTATGAAAATTGTGGATAAGTACAAGTGTCAGGGCAAGGAGACAATGTTAGCAAGTGAGGTAGCAATACTGAGACAAGTTTGTCATCCTAACATAATCAGCTTGATCGCGGAACAAGAGACTGCTGATCAATTATTCTTAGTTATGGAACTTGTCAAGGTGCATTATTAAAATTAAAAGAAATTGATAATGTTTAAATCCAATTGATTATTCATTTTTCATTTTGTAAAACTGGTAATTGAAAGTATGTTTGTTTACTGTTCAGGGTGGAGATTTGTTTGACGCAATCGCAGCTGCGACGAAATTCTCCGAGGCAGAGGCAAGTGTAATGATTAGTCACTTGACTTCTGCCTTGGCCTACTTGCATTCACATCATATCGTGCATCGCGATGTCAAGCCGGAAAATCTCCTAGTTGAGATGGACGGCAGTCACGTTAGGTGTTTGAAACTCGGTGATTTCGGACTTGCACAAGTAGTGCGAGAACCCTTATATACAGTCTGTGGTACGCCCACTTATGTGGCACCAGAAATTCTTGCTGAAACCGGATATGGTTTAAAGGTATATCGATTTATTATAGTGAATTTTTACTCATGTTTCTTGTACTTTCTTAAGAAATATATACTTATTTAAGAAATATATATTTATTATATATATTTATAAATTTTATAAATTTTTTTTTAGATCGATGTATGGGCAGCTGGAGTAATTCTATACATTCTTTTATGCGGCTTTCCGCCATTTGTATCGTTAGATAATGAACAAGAAGAGTTATTTGAACGTATCTTGAGCGGTCAGTACGAATTCACATCACCGTACTGGGACACAATATCGGATTCCGCGAAGCAACTTATCTCGAACATGCTGCAAGCACAGCCAGAACTTCGTTTCAGTGCAGAGGATGTGCTGGATCATCCGTGGCTTACGGTAACTGTCACTGGCATACAACGTTGTTATTGTATTTCACAAGTTAGAATCACCGCGCACCCGCATGGCTTAAAATCCCTCTCTCACTCTCTCACAGTAACACAAGATGAGATTAGTATCGGATGGTTCTCGGCTATTCAACACATTCGCTATCGCATTTATTATTTTGGGCACAATTCCTTCAGTTCCCTTCGGCTCACCACGTCACGCTACACGGAAAAAGAGTTCAGTGGGTCTATAAATGTAACTGGAATTTCAGTAATGAATTTTATCAACGAAAGAATTTTTAGTTTATTTAATTTTGTCATTAACCTATAAAGAATTTTATATTTATGATTTTATAAAAATATTCATAAATTATAGAATTTATTTTATAATTTATGAATATTTATTTTTTTATTAAGCTATAGATATAAAGACAAAGATTATACATGTTATAAATATATACATATATCTATAGAAATGTTATTTTAGAAATAATAATTCTTTGTTATTTTGATTCTTTATTTCACGCGCTGGATAAAATTTCCATGTTACGAGCGTGGTGTGATTGAAAATCTGCTTTTCCCTTATGCTTTACCTCGTACACAAAACTAAGAAAGCTTTTGTAGTGGTTTGCTGTATCTGTAGCAGTGCTTTTTCTTTTCTTTTGCCCCGCCTCTGTATATCAGCAGAGCTTTCTAGGAGGCGAGCAGACCGCAACAGCAACAGCCACCGACGCACCGACGGAGCAATACCGGGATCAGCAGCGTAAGCCGATAAGATTGGCCACCTTTGAGTTCGATTTTAACAAACAACGTAGTCAACGGCAGAACGATAACATCGAGACAACAGCTGAATGGAAGAATGACATTGATCGTCGCGACGCACCCGAGTTTATCGATGGCCGGAGGAAATCGGATGAGGATCATGATGAAGTCGATTTCGCCAATGGTAACAGCAACGAAGATGATTTGGTATTTCTTAGTTCTGATTGTCTGAAAGATATTAATAGTCTGAGCCGATCGATGCACGACTTAATAGATAATCTGAACGATAACCGAATGCCACGACGCCGTCTTAAATCAAGAAGCGCAACTTCATCGCTCAACAGCATTCCAGAGAATTTGAATACATGTTATTATCGCAGTAATTCACCGATTCGTTGCGAGGAAATCACCGAAAAGGCAGTCACAATTTCTAAAAATCATGAACGTGATCAAAAAAATGGAAATTCACCGAAAGAGCCAAAATATCTTCATTCGAATTGTGAAACAAAGTCGACGGATAAATCCATCACTATAAGCCGGCCAAATAAATGCAACTGGAAGAATTTATATGAAACGAATTGCGAAAGCGAGAGATTTAACAACGACGATTTTCGCAATAGCAATGCGATCGCATCAACATCGAGCGATAGCTTGACTGGCGACAGTTCTACCGGTAACGATATCGAAACTTCCGACAGCTTTGTAAACATTCAATTCGCACGACTGGCACGCGGCCAAAAATCAAGCTCAACTCAAAGCATGGAGTCGACCGATAGTTTTGAGAATGTAAGCTTCCGATACACAAATTGGAACAACTGTCTCACAGATCGTTTCTCGCAAATTTCTTCGAAGCTTGCAAACAATCAGAATCAGAATAAATCTCCTGCGAGAATATTACAGACCCGAATAGCTGTACTGAATACATCAAGATCACCTAAATTGGACAATCAATCCGACAAAAAGAATTGTAATAGTCCATTTAACAAGATTCAAGAAGTGAAATGCGCGAAAAACGAACCGGTGAAGTTGCGTCATGAAAGGTATGTTAATAAAAAGAGTCAGATAGATTCTAGAAATACCAAGAGCAAAAGATATAGCTGCTTTTCTCCATGCGCAACAAAGAGATTACCCGAAGAGGTTAGTGGTGGTGGTGATAAAGTCACAACGCGGAAGTTCAGTTCGACGGATGAGTTGCGCGACGAGGTGAGGCAAAAGTCAGTGGCGAGGACAAAGCGATTCAGCCTGTACTATACACCACAGCCGTTGAGAAAGACGTATGAAAACGAGATAAAAACTGGAAGGATTACGTACAAGTCAACAGGTCGCGCTCAGAAGTCTGAAATAAGCAAAGGAAAGGACGGGGAGGAGATAGAAAGAATAGAGAGGGTAGATAAGAGTCGGAGATCAGTGATTGATGCTTCAACGATTGCCAGCAGAAGCAAATCCAATAGGCAGAATGTTTATGTGAGACCAAGCGGCGTATTAAATGTAACCAGGACAAAGTGATAATAAGTGACAAAAAGTTAAGGTGATATGCTGAAGATGTGGACGTTTAATTATTGACATGCGGTTAATCCGCATCAGAGCGACGAAATCCAAAGTCTAAGCGTTTTAAGAATGACGCAATTATGGCATTATTAGAAATTGCAGTTAAGCTGATTGACACTTTGAGTATACGACGATTGAAACAGCGTGCATTGAAATTGAAAACTGTCTTAACGATGTACATGCGTAAAGAAAAGTTTCGCGTCATTTCTATCAAATTGAAACTATGAAGGAATAGATGGAGTGATACTAAATATTTTTTGTGAAGGAAAAAACGATCTCATGCTTAGATTTTGGATCTTCAGATTTAGAGTAATGAACGCTAATGAAAAGTATTATAGCTGTGACAATGTATAATTTTTTTTTCGAAAGTTTACAATTCAGTTACAATAAAAACAATGTTATTATCGTTTATTATTAATTATATATGCAACATATTACATATACAAAGAGATTAAATTTTTTTTCAACCTATTTATTAATAGAGTTGAAATATGATTGTAAAAGTATAATCGTAAAAAAAAATATAGTAGTAATTAAATACTTTTTACA